GGTGAAAAGAAAATCTACCGACTGGGAACAAACATTTGGCAATACCATCTAAGATAAGAGTCTCACAATTAAAGTTTATAGAATACTCCTGGGCCTCCACAAGAAAAAGATTGATAACCAGTTACAAAATGGGCAAAAGACATGGAAAGAATTTTCACAGAGGAAGGTACTCAAATGGCCTACAGACATATAAAGAAATGCTCCAAATCACTGGCATTAAGAGAGATACAAATCAAACCACAATGAGATACCATCTCACTCCAGTAGCAGTGGCAAAATTTAACGAGACAGCAAGTAATAAACGTTGGAGAGGATGTGGTGAGATAGGAACTCTTAGATTGTTGGTAGGATTGTAAAACGGTACAACCACTCTGGAAGGAAGTTTGGTGCTTCCTCAAAAAGCTCAACATAGAAATTCTGTATGACCCAGCTACTCCATTGCTTGGAATATACTCCAAGAAAATGAGAACTGAGGCACAAACGGAAACTTGTACACCAATGTTCATAGAAGTGTTATTCACTATCACAAGAACATGGAAACAGCCCAGATGTTCAACCACAAACAAATGTGTTGAGAAGCTGTGATACATTCATACAATGGAATACTACGCAGCATGCAGGAGCAATCATTTTGTAAATTACTACCTAGTTTGGGAGAGACTGGAGAGCATTATGCTGTGTGAACTAACTGAGTTCCACAAAGACAAATAATGTCTATAACCATTTTTGCGGAATGAGTATAAAGATCCAAGGTGGCAGGGAGGGTGAAAATGGAGGGGTAAGAAAGGGTGTAAATCATAGTGTTGCACAATTCGATTGATGGGAAGGAAATGGGAAGGAACTTTTGTGAAAAACAATGTATTCAAACTTTGTAAATAAACCAGGATAAAAAATTAGACAATGTAAACTTGCAAAAGAATTATCTCATAAGGATGGAGTTAGTGAGACTGAGGAGTATATGGAATCAACAAGTATGACTAAGTTCTCATTTAAACCTCTGGTTTTGTGATTACAAATAAAACATGTAGCTTTTAAAGCAACGAAAGAAAGGAAAAAGAAAGAGAGGACGGAAGGAAGGAAGGGAGGGAGGGAGGGAGGGAGGGAAGGAGGGAGGAAGGAAGGAAAAAAAGAGAGAAAGAGAGGAAGGAAGGAAGGAAGTCTGCTGTCAGGAACATCTCAAAAATTCTGAAGAGCAATAATGTCAGTTTAGAGATGACGGTGCATATGATCCAAGTCATGTTTTTTCCCCAGTTACTTGCTATGCTTCTGCGAACTGAACAATGAATAAGGATGATAGAAGAGTGCCGTTCAGTTGTGATGTTGGAGAAAAGTACTGAATATCCCATTTACTGTCAAAAGATTGAGGTTGTTAACAGTTACGGCTTGCTCAACTCCACAATCAACACTGTTGGCAACATCAGTAAGGAAATCAAACGATGAATTGCATTAGGTAAATCTGCTCTCAGGGACCTTTCCAGAGTACTGAGAAGCAATAATGTCAGTCTAGAGACTAAGGTGCGCCTGATCCAGGCCATGGTCATTACAATTACTTGGTATGCATCAGAAAGCTGGAAAATGACTAAGAATGACAGAAGAACTGATGTCTTTGAGTTGTGGTGCTGGAGAAGAGTCTTGAACATACCATGGACCACCAAGAAAATAAATAGGTCTGTCATGGAGAGGGTGAAACCATGTTTCTCCTTGGAGGCTAGGATTTTGAAGCTCCATCTCACATACTTTGGATCCTTGGAGAAGAACATCATGCTTGGAAGGGTAGAGGGACAGTACAGAAGATGAAGACCCCAGATGAGATGGGTTGATAACAGTAACTAGGACAATGGGGCTAACTGTGTCAGAGTCAGTGAGACTGGCTCAGGACAGAGCAGGCTTCAGAGCTGTTGTGTGTTGGGTTGCTATGAGTTGCAGGTCACTTGACAGCACATAACAACAATAACTGTCAAAAGAACAAACAGTTACGTCTTGGAGAAAGTGCAACCAGAACAATCCTTGAAGGTAAGGACAGTGATGCTTCATCTCACATACGCTGGACATGTTGGGAGAGGCTCTTCCCGGGAGAAGGACATCATGGGAGGAAAAGTGGAGGGTCAGTGAAGGACAGGAAGACCCCCAGAGTGATGGATTGATCCTGTGTCTGCAGCAGTGGGCTCAGTGTGTCAGGGATGATACGAACGGTCCAGGATAGGACACTGGTCTGTTGAGTTGTACTGAATTTGACCGCACCTAACAATAACATGTTCTACTTTGTCCCGGTGGTCTAGAGGAAAGGAGCTGTGTTGTGAACCCAAAGGCAGGTGGTTTGAGTCCATCATTTGCTCCAAAGTAGAAAGATGGGCAATCTGGCCGTGCAGTTTACAGCCTCTGGACACCCCCTGGAGGGTGAGCTAAGAGCTGGTTCTGACTCAGTGGCACCCCACCCTCACCACAGCATGATCTGTCTGGAGCCACTGAGACTGTCCTGTACAGATGCCTCTTTGCCTCCCCCCGCCTGCCCCTCCATCAGTCAACACGTCCATCTGAACGTCCTGCATGTGGGGTTTTGTAGTGATGGGCCTGAGCTTTGAGCGTCTCACGGTGGTGGTAACAGGAACAAGGACAGCACGTACAAGCCGAATCCCAGTGCCAGACGCAGCCCAGCACCTGGACCTGGGAACCCGCGTGCCCCAGGCATGAAGCTTTGCACCTTCCGGCTGGGGGGTGAGGGCCCCCCACCTGGATCCGACCTCAGGGAGCTGACACCTCGCTGACATTTACTGCGCCCTTTCTCTGCATGGAGCCCAGGCTTCTCTGTGGAGCTAAAGTGAACCGAGCTGGGGAAGGACCCTCTCCTTCCAGGCCCAGCCCTGCTGAGTGGGTGCTTGCTGAGAGTGCATGGGTGGGTGGGCACACCAGCTGGCACAAGGCCGAACCTCTCCAGTCCCACATGCCACAGACACACCTCCCAGTGACAGAAGATTCTGAGGACCCACAGGTGTGGCACAAACCAGGTGCCTGCCTGTGTGTCTGCTGTGGTGGTCACAGCATAAAGCATTACCTGCATGTGACCAGGAGGGGGTGATGTGCTAAGGGCATGGGATGGCCTTTTCCTCTTTTGGTGTGGCTACTGTGTTGTTTGTACAAAGAAAAGGGGAAGGGGCTGGCGAGTGGGTCAACGTCACAGTCAGGTGAAGGAACTTCCTTTATTCCTCACTCACTCGTGGGCTCCAACCCCTAGCTCCTCAGTTGGGGGGGTGCCAGCAGGGGACAGGCCAGGGCCACCCATGGGTGCTCTCGTTTTGCCCCATTTCTCAGATGAGGAACATGAGACTCAGGAAGGTCACACAGTCGGGATACCTCAGAGCCAGGGATTCAGTCACTGCTGGGACAAGCACCTAAGGCCCACAGGCTGACCTGAGAGAGAACTAGGGGGTCTCCACCCCCAGACTTACTGTGTAGATGGATTCGGATGGAGCCTGCTTGGAGCTGCTGGCCGGCTGCTGCTTGGACACCTGCATCTGGTTCTGTCGGGAGAGGAGTCAGGCTTGTGAGGGTCTGGGGACAAGCAACTGCTGACTCCCCTCCCCCAGGGACCCCAAGGAGAAAGGTGACAGATGGCACAGTCATTAACTGCTCAGCGCCCTCCAAGACTTCTCCAGAGAAATGTGGGAAATGCCTCCAAGGTCGACAGCAAACCCTCCATCTACCCGGGGCCTCAGGAATGGAAAAAGTGCACCTTGGACCTGGGCCACGTGTAGCACCCGGCTCAGAGACCTCAGGGACCACTGCCGAGACCTGGGCCACAAAGCTCACTGCAGTGGTCCCGCCAAGCAGGTGCCAGCTGGTCGGGGCTGGCCACTCACTGCCTGGGACCTTGGGCAAACCCTTTCCCTCTCTCCTGTGAGCCTCGTTTCTGCAGCAAGGGTCTCCTCTGAGAGTTGGGTAAGGAGCCCTGGTGGTGCTCTGGGACGCTAACCAGAAAACAGCTCATGGGAGAAAGAGAACACATCTGCTCCGGTAAAGATTACAGCCTTTGTGTCCCTGAGACCAGAAGAACTAGATGGTGCCCCACTCCCACCGCTGACCACAGAAAAAAGGACCACAGCACCAGAGCCTGACAGGAAGGGGAAGTGTGGAACAGAACTGGAAAGCATAAAGAAGGCCAAGCTCACTGGTCTGCTGGAGACCGTCCTCCCTCTCCCCCTCCCCCTCCCCCTCTTCAATACTGGCTGCTGAGGACCCTTCAAATCTAGAGCAAAAGTCACCCCAGGGGCTCAACTTTTGGCAGTCAAACAATCAGCAGGCTTCTAAGGTGACTTACGACACCAGGGAGTCATTTAGGGCTCAGAATAACCAGTCATGAGGTTCAATGAGTAGCCTTTGCCCCAAAACTGAGTTGCGAAGGCAGGAAGATGTAGAAGGATTAACAGAAATGAGAATTACATGGAGGAAGTGGGGAAAGTGCAGTTACATCACGGGTATTGTAAATAATGTTCTTAAAGATGTGTATGAATGGCTGAACGAAGAACCAACGTGCTTAGTAAACTCACTCAAATCTCTCTGGCACGCACAGACAGACACACAGATTACAATCTCTGTAACTATGGGTCAGTTCTATTCATTCTCTTCCGTCCTGTGTTGGTGTTGTGTGCCGTCTAGTCAGAGCTGACCCTCTACAGGGTTTTCAGAGACAGTAAATTGCATGCGAGGAGACTGCCCATCCTCCTCTCTCTGAAGAGCTGGTGGATTCGAACCATGTACTTTTGGGATTGCAGTGCAGTTCTTACCACTAGGCCACTGGAGTGCCCTACTCTGTCCTGTAGGATCACCGTGAGAATAGACCCAATAGCAGAAACTGGGTAGCAAGATGGTTGCGAGGACGTGGGGAGGGGATGAAGTGTAGGAACTTGGCTCCTGGGGGCACTTTGGAGGCTTTCAGTCAACCAATGCAAACATATTGGGCTCTTCTGGCCAGTCAGGCAGGCAAAGGAGGTGGACACAGCCCTGCCTTTCAAGAGCTGAGCAGGGGACAGGTCACTGAAGCACTGTGGCATTTGGACAAGAACAAACTGGGAGGAGGGTAGAGAGAATAGTGCAACAATGAATGAATGGAAACCCAAAATCTCTGTAAATGTTTATGAAAATTAATAAAATATAATTATAGGGAAAAAAAGTGTGGTAAGGAGGGAAAGAGTCTTAGTAGCACAGTGGTTGAACATTTAGTTGCTAACCCAAAGGTTAAGAGTTCAAAACCACCAGCCCCTCCAAGGGACAGAGTCTGCTTGTGCCAAGATCACAGCCTTGGGTTCACAGTGCAATTCCTTACCACGAAGCACCAGAGATCCTAGACTACAGCCTTGGGGACCCCAAAGGGAAGCCTGAGTGATGCAGGGCCACTATGAGGCCCCATCCACTTGATGGCAGGGGTTTGATTTGATCTGTAGGAAAGGAGACTGGTCTAGCAGAAGGGGGTGCAGAATCCGAGGCCTGAGGCTGAGAAGGGACTCAATTGCAGGAAGAGGGTAAGAGAGGTCCAGGGGCAGGGACAGCAAAGGCAAGGCCTGGCGATTGACTTGGATGGAGAGCTAGACCTGCCAAGGCCAGTCTGGCAGGGTCCTGTGAAGAACGTGGGACCATGGAAACACCTAGGGCGCTTCAAGTCGGAGGTACTAGCTTCCAGAAGCGCTCAAAGGCTGTGGCGTGGAATGAGTGATGGTCTGGGGTGAGTGGTGGTCTGGAGTGAGCGGTGGTCTGGGGTGAGTGGTGGGCAACCTGCTGGGAAGCGGAAACAGCAGCGGGGAGGGGTGCAGTCAGCGCTTCCAGGGCGCAGGAGGCGGGCCGGGCCTTCCCCCCTCATCCCCGGCACCACACTGCCAACGGTGGAACAACAGCCTCATCTCAGGGCAGGAGCTAATTAAAAACCCTGGCTGCCTGCCAACCCCAGCCCATTTACTCCGGGATTAGCTCTGGAGAGCTACTTAACTCTCAGGCAGGAGCCAGCGCCACCCCAGCCACGCAGTAATAATGGCTCAGAGCGCTGGAGCGCATCGGGGGCCAGGTGCGGGGCTGCTGCGTGCAGGGGACCTGCCTCACCTCGCCTGCCCCCCGAACCAGCGAAATAGGTCGTCATAGCATCTCTGTGAGGCTCACACGCGCATATGCACATCCACACGTGCACACACAGAGAAGGGAGGTCTCAGAGGGCAGTCTGCTTGTCCACACAGCCTGGAAGCGGTCAACAGAGCCATGTGGATAAGGCCTCCTTATCTGTGCGCTCAGGGCGGTTGCTGTGGGCAGAGATGGGTGATGAAAGTTGGGGACCAATAGAAGGAAGACACCCCCTCCCTGGGTAGGTACTGTCTACAGTTCGATGGTGCTCAGGTAGCCTAGTGGTAAGGAGTTGCACTGCCAACCCAAACGCAAGGGGTTCAAAGCCACCAGATGCTCCTCTGGAGAAAGATGGGCAATTTCCTCTCATAATTCAGAGCCTCTGAAAACTCTCTAGAGGGTCAGCTATGAGTCAGTTCTGACTCGATGGCACATCATGACGACAGCGACAACTGACTGAGGAGAAGTGGGTCAGGCAAAGAGCTGGACCAAACTGTCCAACCTACCACACTCCAGCCTGACCTTGCTGCCAGGCTGCTGTGCGACCTGGAGCAAATCACAACCTCTCTGAGCCTCCCTTCCCAGAGCTGTCAAATAGGGAGATGCCACCCTCACAGTCTCAGTGCAGCAAAAATGAGGCCACAAGTGACTGGGCACAGGGTGGTTCCTGAGAAATGCCAGGGTGCTAGGGTGGGGGTACCAAGGACACAGCTGTTTCTCATATGAAGAGCACGAAACAGCCCACCAGCTTCTTGGAAGGACCTGTGTCCCGGAAACGTCAAGGAGCCCTGGTTTCTTGGAACAAGATCAAAAGGGACTCGGTGACAACTGTGAGCGATGCAGTCCCGAGGTCTGGGAGCCACAGCCAGGGGGCTGAAGGAGGGTGCTCCTCAGACCTGGAGAGCAGGGTTACCAGAAGCAGGTGAGGGATGGCGGCTTGCCTGTCACCAGGGCCCACCAGGACCTACTGCGGGGTGGGATGGCTGTCCCTCTGTCCCCTGGGGGCATCCTCAACGTGGGTGGGGGAGAGGACAGCGCTGCTGTGCTCACTGCACGTGCCGGGTCCTCCATACCTTCTTCCAGAACACCAGTGCTGTGCCCAGAATGCTCAGAATGGTCAGGACGATGGTGAAGCCAAAGAGCAGGGGCTTCTGGAAGCTCTGTGGGGGCTCTCGGTACCCCGAGTCTAGGAAGAACAGAGGGGTTAGTTACCTAGGAGAGATGGCAGGCACAGCCCACCTACACCAATGGCCAGGTCTCCAATTCCCTGTGTTCCCCATTACACAAACCCTGCTTAGCTGTCCCCTGCAGGGCCCCACCTGGCTGACCTCGAAAGCCCTGTCTCTACCCACGTCCTTCCTCACCTGCTCTGGCTGAGTCTCTTTGGTTTGCTGTTTTAATTGTCTTTGTGGGAAGGGACTTTATTTCTGCTTCCCTCCTTGGTGAGCTGGCTCCTCTGCGGGCTGTTTATGGGAGCCTGAGGGAGTAATTTCACCTCTTGGGGCCTGCTCTTTGCAAGTTGTGAAATGATGATAATAATTATCTACCTCGTTGAGGTGAGGAAGGGATGTAGTGATGGCTGAATGAAACAGGAGGCATGTTTGTACTTGGTATAGCAGGTGGTAAGGGAAAGACACGGTACTCTCCCTTTCTCTGACTCATCCCTCCCTCCCTCCTTCCCTCCTTCCCTCCTTCCCTCCCTCTCTCCATCTACCCATCCATCCACCCATCCATCCATCCTTCCACCATCTTCACACCATCCTTCTATCATTCATCTCTCAACTCATCCTTCCACCCACCATCCCCTCATCACCCATCACCTAGCCATCTACCATCCACCTATCCATCCATCCATAGACCATCCTTCTCTCTATCCAGCTTCTACCTGTCTACTCATTCTTCCATCCACCATCCACCTATCCATCTGTACACCATCCTTCTATCCACCCATTATCCATCTATTCATTCTTCCATCCATCCATCCATCCATCCATCCATCCGCCATCCACCTATCCATCCATACACCATCCATCTATCCACTTATCATCTATCTACTTACTCATCCTTCTATCCACCATCCACCCACCTATCCATACACCGTCCATTCATTCACCATCTACCCATCCATCCATCCATCCATCCATCCATCCATCCATCCATCCTTCTATCCACCTACCATTCATCTGTCTACTCATCTTTCCATCCAGCATCCATCCCCTGTCTACCTACCATTCACTCATCTGCCATCCACTATCCACCCACTATGCATCTATCCATCCACCATCCATCCATCTGCCAACCATCCATCCACCATCCACCTACCCATCTATTCACTATCCATCCATCATCCACCATTCATCATTTATCCATTCACTATCCTTCCATCCATTCTTCCATCCATCCATCCATCCATCCATCCATCCATCCATCCATCCATCCACTCATCATCCAATACATCCATCCATCCATTGTAAGTCCACTGACCTGGCAAATATTCATGAAATACAAATAATGCTTCTCTGTTGTTGTATGCTATAGAGTTGGAACCAACTCATAGCCGACTCTTTGGTGGATTTTCGGAGGCAGTAAATTGCACGAGAGGACACTGCCCATCCTTCTCCCAAGGAGCAGCTGGTGGATTCAAACTGCGTGCTTTGGGGGATGCAGTGCAGCTTCTTACCACTAGGCCATTGAACTCATCAATATTTGCCATTTATCAAATGTTTCTGACCACCAGGTACCGGCCCTTGGACCACTGAGCTCATTATATCACCATAAAAGTCCTTGATAGACAAGATATTGCCAGGAAGACTGGCTCCAGGTCACAACCTGGGAAGGATCAGGTCTAAGATTCAAACCCAGATCTGTGAGATTCTGAAGACAATAGCTTCCCTAGGAAATGCAAAAGCATGCCAGAGAATCAGGACTTTGGGGATGAACTTGTCCTTAGATTTTGGGGTCATCCCTCCTTAAAAAATGTGAGAGTCCCCAGAAAGATGTACATGAATTTAGTGTTCATGTGTATGTGACCCCACAAACACACACCTAACCCTCCATTTCATTGTGCTGATGGGACAGAGACCCCAGGAGCCAAGTGACCTCAGGTCACCTACCAAATGGTGCCAGATGTGGTCCCACACCCGCACCTATGTCACCTCCACAAAGGTGACACCTTGGCATGCCTACCTGTGGCTACTCTCTTCTGTTTTGCTAAAGCTGGAAGACAAGGCAAATCATTGCCCTCGTCAGACTTGCTTCCCTCTCTCAGCTGGATGAACCTTTGGTCCTTTTGCCCTGGAGGAAGTCTTACCTCGGACCAAGATGAAGGTGCCGCGGCTAGACACCGTGGTCTGTGATGGCTTGAAGTTGACAGTACAGTAGTAGGTACCAGTAGCTGATGCATCCTGCAGCGTCACAGAGACTGGGCACTCCACCGTGTGGGTCTGGTTCTCTGTGCCCTGGCCAGGTTGGCAGTGAATATGTGTCTTGGGGCTCGGCTCTCTCTGGTAGACTTTGTAATAGTAAAGTATGAAAGTCCTGAATTCTGGGGTGTATTTGTAGCTAATTTTGCAGCCAAATGAAATGGTCTTATTGGCCAGGGATACCACAATTGGGGGGCCAGTTTGGACCACCATCTGCCCTCCTGCAGGGAAAGGAAGAGAAAAAGCAGTAAGTCGTTCTCAGGCTGTCTCTGGCTCACCTTTGCTCTGCACCCATGGCTGCCTGAGCTGTGCCAAGTGCTTGGTGTGACAAGTCCGTATTTCTGAAACAAACCAACAGAGACTAACGAGAGCTCCCTTTTACAGAGAGGAAGAATCTTGGGTTCCACTGCACTCCTGGGCGGATCTGGGGCACAGCCAGGACTGGACACAGTCACACCCTTAACCACTCTCTCCCAAACACTCAGAGACAATGGTGGTCAAAAGCACAGTGCAATAGATTGAATATGTCCCAGAAAAATGCATGTTGAAAGTCCAACCTTTTCTATGGAAAAAAGAGCTTTGGTGGTGTAGTAGTTGGATACTTAGCTGCTAACCAAAAGGTTGACAGTTCAAACCCACTAGCCTCTCTGCAGGAGGTGTTGTTCTCTGCTGTTGTTGGTAGGTGCTGTCAAGTAACACCGATTCATAGAGACCCGATAAACAAATGCTCTGAATTTTGTCCTAATCGACATCATCCTTGCATCTCTCTCATGCTCGAGCCCATTGTGACGGTCACTGTGTCCATGCAGCTCATTGAGGGTCGTCGTCTGACCCCTCCACCTTTCCCAGCATGATGGCCATCTCCAAGGATGGGTTCCTACTGAAAATACGCCCGAAGTTAGTGAGTCCAAGTCTCAGCCTCCTTACCTTGAAGGATGGGCTCCTTTCGAGATGTTTGTTCTCTTTTTTTTTTAAGTTTTTTAATTTTTTTAATGAACATTTACAGAGACTTTGGATTTCCATTCATTCATTGTTGCATTTTTCTCCCTGCCCTCCCCCCACCCCAGTTCACTCTTGTCTTTGAAAAGTAAAAGAAAAATTCCTTCACTGGTGTACAATCCCCCCGTTCCGAGTACACTCCACTATGCAGCCTTCATTCTGGACTCTTGTCATGACCATATTACCCAATCATATATCGCTTTTAAACTGTTCTCTCCCTCATCTGTTTCAACGCAGTCTACATAATTGATCCAGTTTTTTCTATTCTTTTGGCAGTCCATCGGGTATTCAGCACTCTTCTCCAACACTACAATTCAAGGCATCAAATAGTCTTGTCTCCCTTCCTCGTTGTCCAACTTTCAGCAGGAACAGTTGCCAATGTGTTCCCATAAAGACAACCCTATAACCCATTGCTGTCAAGTCTGTTCTGATTCATAATGACTCTCCTTCAGCTGAACCCACTTTAGGTTTCTGAGGCTGTAAATCCCAATGGGAGTACACTGTCCATCTTCACTGCCCATCTTCTTCCTCTGGAGTGGCTGGTGGATTCGAACAGTCAACCTTCCAGATAGCAGCATGACACCTTACATGCTGTGCCACTAGAGCTCCTCCCATAAAGAGAATAATTCAGGACACCCTATGGCGCAGTTCTACCCTGTCACGTGGGGCACACAACTGCCTACAGATAGGAGGCTGTCTGGAAAGGGTTTTTTACGTTATGTTTCTGAGAACATGGCGTGCAGGTAGGTCCTTAACCCAATCACTTCTGGGTCATAAAATGAGCAGACTCGATACAAGAGGAAGCATAAACCGGAGGAGGTAAAAGCCATTGGACGAATAGACAACATCACGATAGATGGAGAAAGGATTAAAATTTGTCAATGACTCCATCTTACTTTGATCCATAATCAACACACTCGGTACCGGCAGTCAGGAGATCAGGAGACATATTGCAATGGGGAAGTCTATAGTTAGGTACCTCTCCAAACTGTTGAGGAGCAATTATGTCAGTTTGAGGACTAAGGTGTGCCTGATTCAGATCATGGCCTTTTCAATCACTTGTGATGTTGCTGAGAGCTGGACAGTGGTGAGTACGGATGACAGAAGACAAATTGATGCCTTTGAGCTGTGGTGTTGGAGAAGAGTACTAAATATCCCACGGACTGTCAAAAGAACAAACAGATATGTCTTGGAGAAGGTGCAGCCAGTGCGCTCCCTGAAGGCAAAGGTGATAGAGTTTTGTCTTACATACTTAGAGCACGTTTCTAGGAGAGGCTATTCTTTGGAGAGGAACATCATATTGAAAAGGTGGAGGGACAGCAAAGGAGAGGAAGACCCTCAACCGGGTGGGTTGATACTATAACTGCAGCAATGAACTTGAGTGTGTTGAAGACTGTGAGGATGGACAGGGTTTAGATATGTTGTTCGTAGGATTGTTTTGTTGTTGTTATTATGTGCCATGAGTTGCCTGTGACTCGTAGTGACCCTATGCACAATAGCTCTGAACCCTGTCCTATCCTGGGCCAATCTCACTGTCTCCAACACACCTGCCCCTATTGCCCCAGTCACTATGCCAATCCATCTTATCCAGGGTCTTTCTCTCTTGTATTGTTTCTCCACTTTTCCAAGCATGATGTCCTTCTCTAAGGACTGGTAACATGCCCAAAGTATGTGAGATAGAGCTTCAAAATCCTTGTCTCTAGAGAGCAACTTGGTTTGACGCTCTCCAGGATAGACCTGTTTGTTCTTTTGGCTGCCCATGGTCTGTTCAACATGCTTATCTAGCACCACAATTCAAAGGCATCAATTCTGTGTCCTATTTCCATACCTCTTCAAGCTGAAGGTTTGATATGAATCGTAGTCAACTCAACTGCACCTAACAACAACATAAGACTCTGAACTGTGAAGGAAAAAAAAATCTGTAATTTACAACTACTCAACTTGTGGCTGACATTGAGAAGAAAGAGAGTCCCAGAGCACTTGATTGTGCTCACACAAAACCTATACCTGGACCAGGAGGCTCTTGTGCAAACAGAGCAGGGCAACACTGGATGGTTTAAAATTAAGAAGGGAGTGTGTCAGGGTTGTATTCTGTCTCCATACCTACTTAATCTATATGCCGAACACATTATTTGAGAAGCTGGACTCTATGAAGAGGAATGTGGCATCAGGATCAGAGGGAGACTCATCAATAACTGCATTAAACAGATGACACAACCTTACTTGCTGTAAGTGAGTGGTACTTGAAGCACCTCTTGCAGAAGATCAAGGCATGTAGCCTAGCAAAGAGATGGAAATAACTTAAGTGCCCATCAACAAACGAATGGATAGAGCAGCTCTGGGATATTCACACAATGGAATACTATGCTGCATTGAAAAACATGGAACTCATGAAATATTATACAAAATGGGCGACCTTGGAGGAGTGAAATATCTCAGTCACAAAAGGACAAATATTGCATAGGGCTACCGTTGTAAAATGGGACTGACATCGGGGTTGAGGGAAGACAGAAAAGGAGGGGAGGAATGATGTATATGCATTGAAACAGATGAGAGAACTGTTTAAAAGGGATATGTGATTGGGTATTATTGTCATGACAGGAGTCCAGAATGAAGGCTGCACAGTGGAGTGGACTTGAGGGGAGGGACTGCATAACAATGAAAGAGTTTTTCTTTTAATTTTCAGGGAAAAGAGAGAATTGAGAGGGAAGGTGTGGGCAGGGAGAAAAGTGCGACAATGAATGAATGGAAACCCTAAGTCTCTGTAACCTTTCATTAAAATTAATTTAAAAAAAGAAAAAATGGGGAAGAAAAATATGGATTGCATCTCAATGTCAGGAAAACAAAGACTCTCCACCACCGGACTGATAGGCATTATGATAGAAGGAGAAGAGATTGAAATGGTCAACAACTTCGTCTTGCTTGGATCCACACGCTTGGTACCAGCAGTCAGAAAATAAGGAGACTCATTGCACTGGGAAAATGTGCACTTAGGGACCTCTTCAAACTATTGAGGAGTAGTGTGTCAGTGTGAGGAGTAAGGTGCCTCTAACTGAGGCCATGGTCATTCTGATCACACGCTATGCATCTGAGAGCTGGAAAATGAACAAGCATAACAGAAGAACTGATGCCTTTGAGCTGTAGTGTTGAAGAGCACCTAACATCCTACGGGCAGCCAAGAGAATAAATACGTCTTGGAGACGGTGCAGCCGGAGTGCTTTTTGAAGGCAAGGATGATGAGGCTTCACCTCACATACTTCAGGCATGTTGTTAGGAGGGGCTATTCCTCGGAGAGGGACATGAGGCTGGGAAGGGCGGAGGGTCAATGGAGGAGAGGAAGACCCTTGTGGATTGACACGGTGACTGCAGCAATGGGCTCCAGTGTGTCAGGAAGTGTGAACATGGCACAGGATAGGACAGGGTACAGATCATAGGGTCTCTATGACTCACACTCGACTCGATGGCACCTAACAACAACGCTTGCAGTATTTGTGTCTCAGCAGCACTCGGAGACCAAGACAGCAGGTATGAAAAGAACAGACTTGGAAGACAGGAAGTGGAGAGGAGGCAGGCAGGAAAGCAGAAAAGATACTGTGAGCTTCGTGGCAGCAGATGCAAAGAGGAAGACAAGACCAGTTGCCCCGTGCAGTGGGAGGAAGTGGGCCAGCCCTTTCGAGAGACAAGATTTGGCAAGTTTTTACAGAACAAACAAGACTCTGAGGGCAACTTTCCCAGTCAGGCGGAGTGGGCCACGTGTGACGTGTCGTCCATGGCCACAGCGTTCAGTCTGCATGAGCCGCCCTGGATTCTAGACCTCCACCCCTGTCGCTGGAGGTGCCTCAGAGTGCAGCCTCAACTCTGCAGAGCAGCAGCTGACTCCCAGCAACTCTAACAGAAGGAAACTGCCAATTCGGAAGGGGAGCTGTGGGGGAGGGGAGAGGAGCCCCGCTCCCCCCTCAGCTCTGATGGGCCAGCGGGAGGGCACTTCACACTGCCCTGCCATCCTCACATGCTCAAGCTTGTCATGGTCATCGCAGTCACTGAGCCAATCCATCGCCTTCACAGTCTCCTTCTCATTTGTCCCTCTACTTGTCCGGTGCTTTTCCGAGGCCTGCCCCAGACAGCCTGCCCTCAGGGTCACCATCCTTGCCTGTTAGAAGCATCCTGGATGCACCCTGCCCTGGCCTCCCCGAGTCTTTCCAGCATCTTCTCTTCCCAGAAG